ATACAAAAACCCTCTGAAGGTTTTTAGTAGTGTAATAAAGTTATTATTATTGTATTTTCAACTAAGATCCCACTCTGGGATACGGTTTCAATAAAGATTATTATTATTATTACATTTATACAGTTCGCACTCTCTCTTGCATAGTCTTTGAGCTTATGAACTGACCTAGGGAGCCACAGAGAGCCGCAAGTTGACCCGGTCATTAATATTTAAATTAGCGTCACTGTGGCAAAGACTAGTGGGCCCTTCCCTGGCGACTACCTAGCTCTCTGGCAAGGAGAGTGTACAATTCGTCAACGCAATTTAGGCGTTTTATTACCGAGTAAACTAGATTTTAGAAATCACTTGCGTAAACATAATCGACAATGATCAACATTCCTTCTCGCCGGGTCGTTAAATCTGAACACGGCGCAATGTAACAACAGTGTCGTTTTGAACAAAAAGTTTACTCTATGAAATTCTTTAACGGTTTTTTTTTATTGAAAGGTGTGGCACACTTTGAATTTTATCCGCCCAGTAACGGGCTTTTAACAATGCAGCAACGACAAAATACAAAATGGTAAATCTAATCATAGAATATGTGACAAGTAAACCAATGAAATACGTTTTTACAGCCTAGATAATACGAACAGATGACATTTCTGTTTATACAAATATTGACCTGTAGCAGTATTGAGTTACTTAGTTTTCAGTTGCTGCTTTGTGTTCAAACTAGACACACCCAGTCTTAGTCTTCCTACGGTTACTGAAAAGGATAACCGTGTCTTCCCTTTCTCTACGAGCCGAACCTTTTCCTACAAGTTAAGCCATCGAGGTATGAATGGAAACTGTGACGGGTTTATGTAAATTTTCGGTTCCTTTTATCAGTCACGTGTCAGAAGTGTCAAAAATACAATAAACTTTGCATTTTTGTTTTCAATCCAGAGCCGTATCATATTTTCTGTAGTATTGCCCCCAAAACAAAGACAAATCAATTTTAAACCTCTCCCCAGCCCCCCGCCTAAACCTGTCCTGGTCTCACTCTTTTTGCTTTCCAGTTGCCCTTGTCATGTATCACATATGTAGGTAAACGTCTCCACTGCAACTAACTCACGTAAACAAATACCCGGTAGTGTTATAACACCTCACAGATAAATTGTCATGTCCAATTAAGTCACAGAACAGCACAATTATCTTAGAATTGACATTGAGAAGAGTGTACGGAAATAAGCATGTCTATGTCTCATTAAACCCAGGAAAAAACAAAATACATGTCTGATTTCAACGATACTGTCCCTAAACAGTACAGAGTGGGACCTGACTGAAAACTATAAAGACAAATATAGAAGAATTGAAAAAACTAATTATTGAAAACAACATCTCTACATAGGAAGCCGTCATGTTTTGATACACACTTTATCTGTCAAAATGTGCCAATCCGTACAGACCAATAACAAAGTGTAAAGTATGTAATAAAAAAAACAGCCAGATTTAATATTGCAATGCAGTCAAAAATCACAAAAAATGTCCAACAATTATAAAGCAACCAATGCCCTCTGATACACTTATATTTAATCAGAAGATAAACTATTTGAATAGACGGATTCATTTTTGAGGGCTACAGCCCACATATTTCGCCGGTCGCAAACGAAAGTACACAGCATGGACACTGATAAAACGTAGAGGGCAGCATTACAACATTTAGAAAACACTTCTCTATGCTAGTCGGGGGCGGAGCTGTGTCACAAGATGTTCCGCGTTGCTAAGACGTGCACCACTGTACTATGTATTTCTATGGGCTCTGTATGCGCAAGCTGCCCTGGAACGTCGGTCGAAGAGCCGGTGAAAATAGCTAAAGTCGAGAAAATGGAACAAACTCAACTTCGAAGTAATCCTGAACAACCAAATTTATATGCGTTACACACGTAGGGCTAATCTTGTTACACTGTTCAAGGGAGTCTCAACAACCATCCCAAAGTACCGTTTTCTGGGAGTTTTCGGCCTTTGTTTTCACCGCGATGGTTGCCAGGCGGTGAAAATGCCCGGATGTCCGCTCCCGAGAAAATATATCAATCCTCAAAACAAACAGGAAAGTCGCGCCCATTGCAATATTCAAATGTTGAGTAGGTGATTTGCATATTTCCCTAGTCGATGCATTAATGTAAAATATAAAAGCGTTACGTCATGTGATAAATTATTCGCGAAGACGAACAAATGAGTAAGCAACAAAAATGGCGTCAGACGTATTTGTAACTGCAGCGGTGTTAAAAAGGCTTTGTTCAAGGAAGAATAAACTTGGGATTCATAATAACGTTTGGTTTGAAAATGTTATTGTCGTCTGCCTTCTTTTGTTACGTGCCACGCACTGCACTGCGTTCCATACGATTACGTCACCTATATTAGTAATATTTCGTAATATTGACCAACTCTATTCATTTTATTCGCACCTCCCACTCACGAGCTTGATTATTCCTTCTTTATTCAGCGATTGCAATAAAGAGTATTCTTCTAAAAAAATATGACGTGTTTTGAATGATCCAGCTGTTACGTTGAAGTTTTCGTAATAATGGTTGGGAACTGTCACGTTACGCGAGTCATGTGAAAAGGGGTAGAATCCATAAACGCTTACTTCTTTGCATAGATTAAGTGCAACGCTAACGGACATCATACCCGCCGATGGATCTCTGTGTAGCTTGAATGACCTGAAAAACAAGGTAAATTGTTACTTGGATAATGGTGGCGGAATTGTTGGAATTGATAAACTGATCACAATAGGTTGGCGGTAACTATAGTGACCGTAACATATTTAGCGCGGTGGTCTTCGCGCAGCGCGTGTTCGAATTCCATGTAAATAAACAATGTATTTGACACGCGTTGTATACGTCGCTATAAGTCCCATATCGAACAAGACGCGGCACGACTACCGCCCTTTAATTAAGTGTGCAACTCGAGCTGTGTGCATCATAGAGTGAATATGAATGTTTTGTCTATGTGTGTTTATTTAGTATCAGGTGGTATTCTCGATTGCAGCATTTCATTTCATTCATGTTTCAAGTACAGCAAAGTCCACTTGGTAAAAAAGTTTTGTATGAGCGAGTCAGTGAGTGACAGCCATGGATTAACCTAGGAGAACGAGCTAAAGGTTGTATCGAACCGAATAGCATTAGAAACCCACAAATGGCATATAGAAACCCTTTTTCTATATGTCTTGAACAGCTTTCGTGCCATCCATTTATGCAACAGAAGCGCTAGCCTGACAAGGTCGTGTTAGTTGCGCCCTCCGCGGTGCCCCAAACCCGACACGTTTGGCCGGCTAGTGGCATGCCCGGTGGCCGAGGGGAAGACGTGTAGTGTAGTGGCGCGAAGCTAGGCGATTAGGTGCCGTGCGCGAGCGCCGGTTCGAGTCACGCATGCAGTACGTGTTTACCTTGATTTGACGTAGTATTTACCTTGCTGTCTATTCGGTGCTATTTGCTTATTTTGATTTCTATGTCAACAGCAACTATGAGATCACTAGCGCATGCGCGTCATCGTGCTTTTGAAACTGTACTTACTTTACTATTTTTTGATAGGAGGCATCATCCCCAGTGTAAGCAATGTTAAAAACTAGATTGTATTGATTCTTCAGGAACTCGATAGATTCATCCAGCCATTGAACTCTGTATGATTGTCCAAATGTCCACACCATTGTATTGTTCAAATAGCAATAATTACCAAGCTGTTCCGGTAGTTCACTGTTATTTGTAATATGCCTGTAGAGTTCTCGAACTCTTGTAAAATTGATATTTGTAATATTCGTTTTATTTCCAACATCTCGGCTATAATTTTCAATTTCCGGGGCATTGCATCGAATCACAAAGTCATTAGAGTTGATTTCGTCTCCACAGTTACTATTCAGCAGTATGCCACTATTACCAACCACGGCGCACTTCTTCTGCGACGGCAACTTATCGGCAGATTTTCCCTTTGTAAACGCGAACGGGTGACCAGTGCCAAGCATCTTCAATATTTGTTTCCTATTCAGGTAAAACAATCAGAAAATACAATATACTCCGTAAGCAAATATAAAAATAGTACAACAAATAATGCGGTAAGGATATGAATTTATGACATGGTGCTCTGTAACTAAAACTACATTTCAACGATATTTTGAAGAAGAAAAAAACATGTACAGATTTAAACACAGGGACAAAGAAATATATATTGTCAACAATATGTTTTTAGCCACCCCTCCTGTATAATGGACTGTTACCTTCGCGTCTGTTAACAGAATGGAATGCTCCGATTATCAATGACCGTTATATGGTAAACACCACCGTGACAGTCAATGCCCCTTGTACAGTATAAGCATCATGCATGTATAGTGGCGTTCACGTTAGAGATAACGGCATGTACAGAAACGTGTGTGTGAACAGTCCGGACCGAGTCGGAACGTGCCGGAATAAAAATCGATCTCGGTGTATATGTATACATGGAACTAGTAGCGTTCACGCACAGCTCCTTAGCACGCGCTAATATCGTTTGATTTATACGAATACATACATTTTCATTTTTTTTTTTTTAAAAAACAAGTTTTTATTTTAAGAACATTATGAATGTGTTGATTTTCTGCGTTTGCTAAAACTCCCAAACAAAAAAAGGATATGTTTAGACTTGTGAAACACACCATCACGCAAACACAAGACTACAAGTTACGTTTCAGGACAGATTAGCGTAGCAGTTTCTATTACGTGCCGACTGTAGGAACGTTACGAACGTTTGTTACGCCACTCACAAACAATGCGTTGCTACGACATGGTAATCTGAATGGTAGCCCTGCGTA